TTCCACTAATATATAAGACTTGATTTGTTAAACTACTCGAGGAGTATATAATCAACGTATCTCACACTCCGATGAATTATCCTTTACATGTCATTGCCTACGATATGATCAATATACTTGACATCCATTCAAGATCGAACGTAATAATCTTGATAGAACTTGGTTTGTACAGTACTTTACGATGTTCTATTGTCTATTTCATAAAACGATATAAGACATTGAAGGTTATACGTACAAATAATTAAACAATTAATTATAAATACAAAATTTAATTAATTGTTATCATGACATTTCTACGAGTATCATCTTGCATTTCATGCTCGGATGGATTATATGTTAGCTCTTCACCTCTACATCATTACACGAGATATTAAGTTCATGATTTGATGAAGGACTGATAGATTTGTACATTACTCTAGGAATATATGTATAATTATCTCCTATTTCAGAACAACGTAGTTTCATATGTATAATTATCTCCTAAATATTGATTATTGATATTTTTTGTTTATTCCACGAATTCTAATTTTTATTTATAAAAGTATATAAAATTGTTACACTTTTTAAAACAATTAATTGTAGGTGTAAAATGAAAATTTAGTATTATGCGCAGTAGCAAAATTATGATTAATAGGAATATTTTAAACAAACCGACCTTCAGATGTCACTTTTATTAAAAGTAATTAGATTTAATAAAAAATACTGACCTGATAAGGTCGGTGTCACATTAAATTTTAAGATAAATAAAAAAGTAATCATGTTAATTAAATAATATTGACATCGGGAGGTCGGTATTTTAAATTAATTTATTTTTTAACTTAGATAAAACCGTCATCCGGAGGACGATTTATTTCAAGTTAATTGAAAATATTAATTTATTAATTTTTCTGGAAGTCAATATATAATTATTTTAATGAAAATTAATATAATTACATACTATTTAATTTTACCGACATCCGAAAATTGGTATTATAATTTTTTTGTTTTTTATTTTACACAAAACCGTCCTCCGGAAGACGATTTAAATAAAATTAAATCAAAAAATTTCTCAATTTCGTTTTTTAAATTTAATTGAGAAAATAATACCGACATCAAGAGATCAGTTTTTATTATAATCATGTTTCCGGGGAAAATTCCGATTTCCAGAGGTTGAAATTTGGTTTTTCCGCTTTATTTTGCATAAAAACCGACTACTTGTTGTCGGTTTTCATATCAATGTAGTTTCATACTCTAAATATGGATTATTGATCTAAATTTTTATTTATAAAAGTATACAAAATTGTTACATTTTTTTAAACAATTAATTGTAGGTGTAAAATGAAAATTTAGGAGTATTATGCTAGCAAAATTATGATTAATAGGAACATTTTAAACAAACCGACCTCCGGATGTCGCTTTAATTAAAAGTAATTAGATGAAATAAAAATACCGACCTCATGAGGTCGGTATTTTATATTAATTTATTTTTAACTTATATAAAACCGTCATCCGGAGGACGATTTATTTAAAGTTAATTGAAAAAATTAATTTATTAATTTTCTGGAAGCCACTATATAAATATTTTAATGAAAATTAATTTGATAACATAATATTTAATTTTACCGACTTTCGGAAGTCAGTATTATAATATTTTTTGTTTTTTATTTTACACAAAACTGTCCTCCGAAAGACGATTTAAATAAAATTAAATCAAAATATTTCTCAATTTTGTTTTTTATATTTAATTGAGAAAAAATAAAATATTGTTATTTATTTATTTTATTTAATACCGACATCAAGAGGTCGGTTTTTATTGTAATTCATTTTTTTCCAGGAAAATTCCGACCTCCAGAGGTCGGTATTTGGTTTTCCCGGTTTATTTTGCATAAAAACCGACTAAGTCGGTTTTCATATCAACGTAATTTCATACTCTAAATATGGATTATTGATCTAACTTTTTATTTATAAAAGTATACAAAATTGTTACACTTTTTGAACAATTAAT